TTAACGGTTAGCTAGATAAGAAACTAGTGACTGAGATCAGTAATTATAACTATCCTAGAGAAGGATCACATCATTGGAAAAGTGAAGCTGAGAGCGAAGGTCAGAAAGCACAATGACACATGATTAGTCCTTTCTGGATGTTATGAAAATTTAATACTTTCTGGCATTTTGCAACACTCTAATTTCCAAATCCATATCATTTCTTCCTTTGAATTGTGGATACTCCATTTTCTTGTTGGCACTTCTTTGAATTTCCTTTAATCTTCATATTCAGATCTCTGTTTCCTTAAATCCTGGCATTCAAATTTGCCCTCACATTACCATATCTCTTTTTTCTTTAAATGGGTGCCAGCAATGTACAAAAGAATCGATTTTTTGGATTGTTGAAAAATCAAGTTGGTCCCCCAAATTCTTCTATTTCTGAATGACCCAAAACAGCCACCGGATGAGGTATATCAGAATTGATTACCCTTATCAGCCTCAATGTCCTGCCAAGCCCAAGCTCCGTCCATGTTCACCAGCATTCTTTTACATATATATAATGTCTATATACACACAGATACAGACAAATAATATAGGACAAAAGGCACTGAGGTGTGCCATCCATGCAGACAAGCAATCAGAATTGCGAAAAATGATCAGCCAAGATATGTAAAAAGTCCCCTAAAATCTTCTCCATGATGAAGAGATGACTTTTGAACAAAATCAATGAGGTACAGAACAAGTTATTTCCTCCCTAGAAAAGTTAGATACCTTCAAAAACTTTTCTATTTCATTATCTTAAAATGATCCCAGGAAAAGAGAAGGGCATGAGGGCAATCAACTTGTATGATTGTGATTTAATGTGCTCACTCTATAACAATGTCTGTATGTCTCTATACTAACCTGAAGAACTAAAAGATCACTACAAACTGCAATAACAAACAAAGTGACCAAGTTAAAACTAGAACCAAAGGAAATATTTCAGTTGCAATATTAAGATAAGTGTTTAGATAAGAAAATTTTGAAAAAGCCTTACCCGCTCAAAAGTTTCATCCAATATGATTGCCCCTGTTACAGGAACTCGGACCTTGTAAGAAGTGAAGTCCTTAAATATGTCATCAATATGAGCAACATATGGTCTCAAAACATCACAACTGTTAAACACTGCAAGACAATACATTAAGGGAAACAAGGATATACTGGAAAGTCGCAAATAATACCACCAAAAGTTCAAAACATACTGACTGTGATATATTAACTTCCGTAGGTTAACCTACAACGTAGACATGAACATCTCAAGATAATCGAGAATTTGTACAAACTTTCAAAATTATGTACTTAAAAAAAGAGGTACTGCTGGAATTTCAAGAACATGCCAAATAATGTTTTTCATGTTGCAAATGCCATCTGATAAAACGACAACTTAATGAGGGTTCAAAAGTGAAAAGGATGTGAAAGTAAATCATTAATGCCAACTAGATGGATTGCATGCTTGGAATGTTTTTTTTTTTTGAGGAAGAAGAAAGGGTATAATGGGACATTTGTAATAACCAATGGTTGAATAGGCATACCATCTGATGATATGACTTATGATGCTAATAAGCTAGAGCTCATTCTAAACAAGGAATTGTTTAAATCATTGTAATTTGAGAATTCTTTCAAGGATACATAAAGAAGTGAACTCCTTCAAAGTCAAAGATTTCAGTGATGGATTTTTTTCTACGGTATTATCCTCGTAGAACCAATGAGCATACTCCACAAGAAAAAGAATTCTCTCAAATGATTGCTGGTCTTCTTTCGGCACATTTAAAACAAATCGACTGCACCAAAATTAAAATGAAATAAAAAGATTTAGATCTTATTCTCTAGTCATAACAAAATAGTGTGCAAAAAAAGACATAAGATAAAAGATCAATCTATTTAATTTCCCAAGGCACCAAATAAGGAAAAAAAATTAAAAAAAAGTAATTTCCATTTATGGTTAACATATTACCATCACACAATTATGAAAATACCCAAATGACAACTGGGACTAGCGACAAACCTTAACACTGTCACAAAAATTTTCAATTTCCTAAATCTGGTCCATTCTTCTTTTGGTATGTTCTCTGTTTCTGAACCATATAAAACATGATCTGATAATGTCATAAAAGAGTTCTAAGTTCTTCACATTTCCAATACATTGCAACATTTTCAAACTCATATTTTCCTTTCTTTTCCATAAGGTCCTCGAAACAGACCATTTTCTTCTCCTGAGAGGTCCTTGAAACCAAGCGATTAACCACTAAACTCCAAAACTATTAGCCCTAACACTTTATCCACAAATCTTAGCCAATTTCACAATCTAAGTTCCTGTAACTGCAATGCTCATTCAGAATTCAGTAATGCAACTTTGACAAGTAAACTAAAACATTCTTATACTGATTAACCGAGTCTCACAAACGTCAAGAAAAAGAAATCCATACACGTCTATCTCCTGTCTTCAGTGCTCGAAGTAAATTAAACACGAAAACAACATAAGAAAAACGAGCAAACTGAAAACATATCCATTTTCCTTTCGTAAAACCAAAGAGGAAGAGAGCGTAGTGGGACCTGCAGAGATCATCGAGCAGTTCTTTTGGAGGAAGACCGCTCTTTGACAAAGCAGTCGACGATCGATACAGAGCTGACATGGCCGGGACTTTGGCTCTCCCTATCACCTATTTGCCAAGTGAAACCTCAAAAAAACCCTAATTCGTACTGCGAAATGGATACGAGGACTGTACTAATATACACAGAGCAGTTTTTTTTTTTCTTTTGTCTATGGAATTCGGATGAAGAAAATAAGGAAAGACGATGAGAGGTCCCTTTTTGGGGATCTCTCGAGTGGATGGAGTACTGGGCAGCCAAACAGGTCTGGCGTGTCGCCTGATGATCGCCTTGCCTTGGCCCGTCTCAGCTGGACTCGGGTCGGGCATTTTTTGTCGCCATAATTTTCAACCCGATTTCCCCAAATAAAGATCTAATTTAAAATAAACTATTGTGCATTTTTATTATATATAAAAATAATTCGAGAATTGTAACTAAATTTCTGTGTTGTAAATTAATTATTAAATCATGTAAAAAATAATTTAATTTTTTTTAAAGAAAAATAATATGTCCCGTTTTTTTGCTTGTCGTGACATTCCTAATTAAATGAATTTAATTATTATAAAATATTTATTTAAATTTTTATATTAAAGAATAAAGACTCATATAAATAAATTATAATAAAAAATATTATAAATTAAATTAAATATCGATAATTATTTTAATAATTTATTATTAAAAAAATTATTTAAACAATGAAATAATAAAATAACAATTCATACTTAGAAGTCCAAATCAACTTTAACTCTTTTGCTCTGTTTGAATAATTTTTATCACGAATAATTAACGTAAGGTAATATATATTAAGTGTGCAGGATATTAATTATGAAAGTATGATATGTTAGAGAAGATATTCTATTAATGTACATTAATAACAACTGTTTTATTCGGATTGATAAGTTGATATGGTTGTATATTAAGTCAAATTACTAATTTATTTATATTTTATTGTATGTAATATTAAAGGAAAGAAAAAAAAAATTCATTTAACTTGTAATTAAGTTATTTAAACTGTAATTTTTAATAAATTTTTTAAAATATTAAAAAAATAAATTTGTTACGAAAAATAAAAATTTATTTTTTTTATAGTTAATATAAAAACTTAATTTAAAACTATAAATTTTTACTTATAATTATAAATTTTAAAAAATTATTTATTACATAATATTTATTATTAGTATTATTATGATATAAATAAAATAAATAAATAAATTTTATTTATTATCATTTTATTTATCAAGAAACAAAGAGAAAAAAGGAAAAAAGAAGAAGAAAAGAAACAATTTGAGTTGCTGATAAAAAAAATAAAGTCTGAAATAATTTTGTTTTCGTAAAATAAAAATTAACTAAATTTAATAAATATATAATCGAAATAAAAATATGAGTCCGTTAAAAATTATTAAATTAATAATTTTAAAAATTTATTTAAATTTTATTTTTTAAATACTATTAAATATTTTAAATTAATTATACCAAAGAAATATGATTTTAATAATATCATCCAAATTACTCATGAAATTAACGTCGTGTTTCTCCTTAAAAGAAGAAAAAAAAGTCATTATCAGCTTTAAATCTTTCAACAATTTATAGCCGTTGGATCTTGAAGTAAGTCAACCTTGAAGTATGACGAGTTCTACAATTTATAGCTGTCGAATCGAAGAAGTAAGTCGCCTGCAAAAATTACGGCTCCGAATCAGAAGATCTCAACGGTCAGCAACTCCACAAACGAAAAAGCGAGCGCTTCATATTGCAGTCAATGCTATTTTTCACTAAGCGAGAAATCCAAAGGGACAGAAAATCTCAACCGCAAGCTTTCAACTCTATCTGTGTACATGTCCTCCTCCTCTGTTTCTTAAAGTTTCTTCAGTGAATTGGTTTTCTGGATTTTGCTTGTGTTCTTTCATGAATCGGTTGATTACGAAGCAACGGTTTGTTGAACTAATTCTGAGTTATTAACTAGAACGGACCATCATTTAATCATATATTAAAGTAGCCGCACAATTCAAAATATATCAATCGGTTTCTGTTTTTCCGGTGAAAATCTGTTGAATCTCTTTAATAGAGTGATAAATTGGAAGTATTAACAGAGTCTCAGTTGATTTACATGGATGATGAAGTTATTATTAGGGGTTTGTTTTATGTTGTTCTAGAGTTCTGTTCAATTCAATCTATTGAATCCTTACAATGGTTTCCGGAGAGTGCTTTATGAGCTTATTTGGGTTACTATCAATTAACCAGGTGAGTGCTTGTTTCTATACGAAATGAGGAAGAGGCCAGGGAAATCTTCATTGGTATCTGAACCATCGAGTAGTAAAGAGGATGATGGATTTAAAGTTGTTGGTGAGGAAGTTAAAACTGAGAATTTTCAGATGAAGAACATGAAGAGATCAGGGTTTGTGTGGATGATATTGTTTGGATTGATCATATACAGCTCTTGGGCTATATATGACTATCAGTTTGGGAATTTGCCAGCACCACTTAGTGCCAAGCAGGCAGGGAAAAGGGGATTTTCTGAGCTCGAGGCCATGAAGCATGTAAGAGAATTGACTAAATTAGGCCCACATCCTGTTGGATCAGATGCTCTAGATCAGGCATTGCAGGTTGGTCCATTGAACTGTTTTGTTCAACTTGATCTGTGTTTCTGTTGAGTTTTATATGCTGTCATTAATTGGTTGATGCTGTTTATACATATGAACTAATCAATGGATATATGCTCCTTTTTTCAAGTGTCCTTTTTCATGTGAGAGGTTGAGATATGAGATAAAAACTTTGAAAAATATTCTTGTGGATTGTATCAAGCATATATTTGAATGTTAAAATGATTGGTATCATTGCCCATGTAATTTTCAGTGTTTAAGACTTGTCTTGGCATTTTTTCTTTTGTTGCTAAGTACTTACATTTACAGTTTTGTAGCTAGATTATTCATCTCTGCCTTTTGATGCCAGTAGGATATGAAAATGGCCATATGTTTTAAGTGCATATTTTTTAATTATCACCATCCTTTTTTTCTGGTTATATTCTTGATTTTCTTAATAGCTTTGGTTAATTTAAGATCCTTTTCTCTAGTATTTTTCTTTTTGGTAATGGAACATGGTATATGTAAAGAACTCTTTTAGTTGTTTATATATCTGATTTTATATATTATTTACTAGATTATCTATGGTTAGAATTAGCATGATGTTATGTTTATAGTGGGCATTTGCAATATCATCTGATGCACTTTATGCAACAGTATGTTTTGGCTGCAGCACAAGAAATTAAGAAAACAGCTCATTGGGAGGTTGATGTCCAAGTTGATTTTTTCCAAGCAAAAACTGGTGCAAATCGTCTGGTCAGTGGCCTGTTTAGGGGGAAAACACTTGTTTATTCAGATATTAGTCACATCATTTTAAGAATCTTGCCAAAATATGTATCTGAAGCAGGAGAAAATGCTATATTGGTCTCATCTCACATTGATTCCGTTTTTTCGACGTATGCTTTCTTCATCTTTCTAGCCATTCTTTTTCTTTTAATCTTAATTCGATTTGTTCTGTTGAAATATATAGTGCTTTCTTAAAATGTGATTATACAATTGAAAGAATGTTCAAACTTATGGACCACTTACACATGAACAACCAACGAAACATTTTCCTTATCTCTTCACTATCAAGACCCAACATTGGGAGAATTATGTCAGATTCTTGCACTATTTCAAGAATTAAGATTCCGTAGTACATCTTTGCCTCGTCAAATCACTTAATGTTTTAAATGTAGAAACAATTAGTTCAAAAATCATTTTCATCTGATTACCATCACAATGGATATTTGGTGTCGTGATTCCAGTCAACTCACATATGCAGTAAGCAACTTCAGGTTTCACATTAACATTTAAGTGCTTGAGAAGTTGATCACTGTCGAAGGATTTTAATAATGGTTAAAGTGCATCTCATATTGACTTTGGTGGTTGTTGGTATACTTTTGAGTGACAATACTTGGTCCAAAGATGAAAAAGGTCATTAGTTGAATGAAGAGGGTTGGTAAGTATATAAACAATATCCATAAGCAATCATTTAAAACTTTTACCACATCGTACCATAATGCTAGTAGTATTATCTTCACTTTCTCTTCCATCAAGCCAGTTGGAGCACTTAATAACATACATCTTAAGTCAAATTACTTGGGTGGAATGCATAAATAGATACTAACTCACTTGTCCAAATTATCAACCTACCAAAAAGCGAGTATAGAACATAAATTGGACCAGACTAACCTCAATAGTGAAATAACAAGCTTAAAACCCCTAAGAACCGGTCTGGAGGTGGCTAACCAAGATAAGCTGAACCAGACTGGTCAAATGGTTTGCACAAAGGGAGCTCTTGTTGAAGCTTTTCGATCAAGAAGGGAGTTTATTCAGAATTCTCTCATAAAATCTGTATATTTTCTTACACGGCTGCTGTAGCCATCCTAGCATGGCCTTTGCTCTCATATTTCACATACATTTGGAATTTTCTTTTCTTGGTAGAGACATGCACTTTCACTTGTTTGCATGAAACAGTTGCCTTGTCACCTTGTGAAAAATGTTGTGCAATTTCAGGGAAGGTGCCGGTGATTGCAGTTCATGTGTTGCTGTTATGTTGGAACTTGCTCGAGGCATCTCTCAATGGGCGCATGGTTTCAAGAATGGCATTATATTTCTCTTCAATACTGGGGAGGAAGAGGGGTTAAATGGTGCTCATAGCTTTATAACCCAGGTTAGAAGCATTTTCGTTGGGCTGCTTCCTGTGAAATTTCCTCGTTTATAGTTTTTTTTCTACTTACAATTTCTGTGGTTGAAGAATCAATTAGTTTCTTACATATTTGTTCCTATGAAACAGTTGTATACTTTGACCCAGGTTAGAAGCATTTTCGTTGGGTTGCTTCCTGTGAAATTTCCTCGTTTATAGTTTTTTTTCTACTTACAATTTTCAATTAGTTCCTTACATATTTGTTCTTATGAAACAGTTGTATACTTTGACGTCCATACATTACTGCTGATGATGGTTGGCTTGAGAAAATGCAGCAGAACAATTTATAATTATTTTGTGTAAAAATGATGTCTTGAACTATCTTTCTTATAAGCAATGAAAACGCAACTAACTTTTCTACCTGACTTGGACAAAAGACCATGTGCAAAAGAAAATAATTTGACTTCATTACAAACTTATTTCTGTAGTTTATGAATTGGCCAATGAAAAATATCCACTTGCCAAATAATTATGCTCAACATAAAGATTACTCTCATATAATGCTTATACGAATATCCAGTTATTTGCATTAGGTGCGTATTATTGGGTTGAGCTGAAAACAATTCTTCAGCTGAAATTTATATATTCAATAATTAGGTGGTACCTGCATACCAACAAGAACACAATTTCCTAAAAAAGACACACATGCTTAACCTCTCAATGAGAATATACGATATTGCACAACATACATCTCAATCTCACATTCCCATGAAAAAGTGTACAAGTATCCACCATCCAGCCAATGACGAGTGGATGGTTGAGCTCAAAACAATTGTTCTAAATTTGACCTCGTAATAATTTTTTATTTTTGGTTTTTAGATTGGTCTTACTTCCATGCTCTGTTTGCTTCTTTCTTTTTTAATTTTGTAATTTTTATTTTAGGCACTGTTTCAAGAAGCGGAATTATGAGTTGTTTTTAGATTGGTTCTGACAGATTCTTTTAAATCTATTGTTTCAGCATCCTTGGAGTTCTACTATTTGTTTGGCTATTGATTTGGAGGCCATGGGTATTGGAGGAAAGTCTGGAATTTTTCAGGTTGGTTTGAATAAGTTACTGCTGTAATTCTTAATTTTCTACTCAATTTGATAACTATGCTGTTGATATGAATTTCCTGTTTAACGGCTTAACTTCGATGCTCATTTTAACTGTTTAAATCTTTTCCATGGACTTTAAGTGTATAATATTTTTGTGTCAGTTAAGTGCTGGTTTATTCAAACCCAAACTTGACGATACAACTAAATGTCAAAAGCTTCTCACATATCCCTTTCAATATCAGGTTCATGCTGAAGTTTCCCAAAAATTATGACCTTCCTTTAATTGTATGTTTACATAACTAGCTATGCCTTCTCCAACCTTTTCTTAGACAGCATAACAATCACTGTAGAAGAGTGCACATCTCGGAAAGTATCTGTTCCTCTTTGGTAGTAGAATACTCACACTTGAATGCTTTTCTGAATTGTATACATGTTCCTGATGTGGCTTGTGAAATAATTTATTAGTGACATTATTCCGAAATTCTTGAATTGAAAAAAATGACTTAATATGTTTTTTATACTTCAAGACAACCTCTCATGCTAAGGTCTTCTATCCAAAAAAGGTGGCCGAGCACAGACTCGCTATACCTTGCACTAAAATTTAATTTGGTGGATTGCTATACCTTGTATTAAAATTTAGTTTGGTGGATTTAATTAATCGATGTCCATGTGAAAGTAATTATACTGATAGAAAATAGATTATCTATACTAGACATGGCAAATTCATGTTGATAATTCAAATAATTAGTACAATTCCTTGTTTTATAGCACCTGGTCTATTTTACAACTTGGCAACTAACAATGAACTAGCATCTGATTAGTCTTGAGTGGCAGGATCTACTGTGTTGAGTGGTCCTGATCATCATTATAGTTCCTAAATTTCATGTTTCGTACTATTTATGCAGCTTGGTGTGTTAGCTTTTAAATGAGAATGCTCCCTTGTGGTGTATCATCCCTGAATTTAGCAATTATTCCAATTAACTGTCGAGGATATTTCATCCTTTCTCTTTTACTCTTATGTGATAGGCTGGTCCCCATCCATGGGCTATCGAGAACTTTGCCTCAGTTGCAAAATATCCATCTGGCCAAATAATTGCGCAGGTTAGGAGTTTTACTCAGTGCTATTTTTTTGGTTTTCATAATAAATGTGTGTATTTAACAAGCAAATCATCTAAAGAGCTAAATGCAGGATCTTTTTTCTTCTGGAGCCATAAAATCTGCGACAGATTTCCAAATATACAAAGAGGTTGCTGGTCTTTCAGGGCTGGATTTTGCATACACAGATAACACTGCAGTATATCACACAAAGGTCTACGTCCTCTACCTTTTTCTGCCTCTCAGCTTATGAACTACTGAACAGTCAGAAACAACAAAAGATTGATTTTTTAAGAGTCTGAAAGAAGTTTTAGAAAAAAAAAAGGAAATAATTTGTGGAAAATTACCTTGTTTATTTTCGTGATGAAAATAAAGACTTCAAAGATTCTTCCGTGCAGAATGACAAATTAGAGCTATTGAAACCGGGATCTCTTCAGCATCTTGGAGAGAATATGCTCGCTTTTCTGCTTAAAATTGCTTCATCTTCTGATCTGCCAGAAGGCAAGGCTGTTGAAAAAGAGGAGAAATCTAGACACAGCAATGCAATATTTTTTGACATTTTGGTAACTTTCTAACTACAGAAGATTTAACAGTGTTTTTGGCTTCATATTCCCTTTCCTGCAACTTGTCCATCCAATTTACCTTTGTAGCAATGCTGTATTCTAACATTAACCTCAATCGTCAGGGGACATATATGATTGTATACAATCAAAATTTTGCAAATATGCTTCACAGTTCGGTGATCATGCAATCGCTTCTTATATGGACTACATCATTGTTTATGGGTGGTATTCCGGCTGCTGTGTCCCTGGCATTGTCATGTCTGAGTATTATATTCGTATGGATATTCTCAATAGGTTTTTCTGTCGTTATTGCCTTCATTCTGCCTCTGATATCTTCATCACCTGTTCCCTATGTTGGAAGCCCGTGGTTGGTAATTGGATTATTTGTTGCACCTGCTGTTCTTGGAGCTTTGACGGGTCAACATTTCGGTTATATTATTCTTAAATCATATTTATCAAATGTGTATTCTAAGAAAAAGCAGCTCTCACCAGTTATTCAAGCTGACTTGGTCAAGTTAGAGGCTGAAAGATGGCTCTTTAAAGCTGGTTTCATTCAGTGGCTTGTTCTTCTGATTTTGGGAACTTATTACAACATTGGATCCTCATATATGGCTCTGGTCTGGCTAGTTCCACCTGCATTTGCATGTAAGTGGACACTTCATCTATCACATGAATATGCTCTAGAATCCTTAGGTTGTTATTGCTTTGAGGCAGCAGTAGTACATAAATCATGAACATATGGATGTTCAAGAGACAAAAAGATAGTTCCTTATTGTTCCAAATTAACATGATTTTCTGGAATATTCAGATGGATTGTTTGAAGCTACTTTAACGCCAACACGGTTCCCAAAACCACTCAAACTTGCAACTTTACTCTTAGGCTTGGCCATGCCAATTTTAATTTCAGCTGGCATATTCATCCAGCTGGCCAGCACAACTATCGGGTCTGCAGTTCGATTGGATAGGTAAAATTGTGTAACTATACTATTAAGTTATCCTTCTGCCTCTTTAATTGCATTTTCTATTTGATTGTTTGTAAAGTATTTCTTTTAAAGAGGACATTGATCATCTTGCTAAAATACGGCATCGAATAAAAATTCCCTCTTCCTTATTATTTTAAACTTTTGGATTATTAGTCACCCAATTCAATTATTTACCATCAAGTTAAGCAACAAGGTCCTTGGTGTTGTGTCCATGTGCAAATTTCAAATTCTACTTACAATTAGTGAGTTTGTTAAATATAACATAACTTAATAAAATTGGTCCTTGGTGTTGTGTCCATGTGCGAAGTTCATATTCTACTTACAATGAGTGAGCATGTTAAATATAGTATAACTTAATAAAATTGGTTCTTATAAACTAAAGCTTTTGAATTACTTGAATGCTCAAGTAAATTATTTCAAACGTATTATCTATAATTCATGCTGAATAGGAATCACTTAAGAGAATGAATTATAGGTTCCAGTTTGACGCAGGAATTTGGGGTGGGGGGGAAGAGATGCATTTCTGACTTTTGTATATACATACAGGAATCCAGGTAGCACTCCTGAATGGTTGGGGAATGTAATTCTCGCAATTCTTATTGCTGCAATTGCGTGCTTGACTCTGGTGTATCTCCTGTCATATTTTCATCTTTCAGGTATTTATTGTTAATGCTTTTCTTGTTTGATTTCATTAAGTATAGATAATTCCGTTAGATTTGGAATTGATAGTTACTCTTAGAGCATATTTTTGAGCACCTAACTGTATCATTAGCAACTGAATTAGAGGATTGGATTGCTAAAAAAATATACTTCAAGCACTAAAATAGTGTTTAAGTCAACGCGTTCGAATAAAATGTCGGATTGCCAAAAAAATATACTTCAAGCACTAGAATGGTATTTAAGTCAACAAGTTTGAATAAAATGTTGGATTATCAAAAAAATATACTTCAAGCACTAAAATAGTTTAAGTTATTTACAATAAATAGATTTTTATTTAAAAAATAAACAGTTAAACATTTGAATAAAGTGTTGATTATAAAAAATAGACAGTTTTTTTTTTTTTGGTAAAAAACTAGTAAAAAAATATATTTGTTATGATTATTTTATAATTTATATTATTATATGAATTGTTAATTTTAAGTGGATATGAATAGAGTATTTAAGTCAACTTGTTAGATGATAAAGAACCTAAAAATTGAGGACTCAGATTCATGTTTTTTACCTTAAAGTCATTTCTAAGTATTAATAAGTACCATTTACCAAACAGGGAGATCGAAGAAAAGTGCTTAAGCTGCTTATAAGCATTAAAATAAGCAATTTCAAGCATCCTCTTAATGTGATCATACTTAGCCATTAAGGCATAAGGTGAAGTTAATGATGTCTTGAGCATAAAATGGATCTGGAAGATTGGAACCAACCTAACTATTTTATGAATATTTGATCTAATAAGAGCCTGAATGGTGAAGATAAGCTACTTACCATGTAGAAAATGAGATTGGCAGCTACCTAGCAGTTTCAAATGTTGAATTGTTTGATCTATAAAGATAGAAAGTATTATAGCATAAATGGATGGAGTAAGAAGTTAAAACAACTATTCTTTTCATGATTCTAGGGAGTTGTCAATTTTTTTATGCCATATATGCCATATTTTGGTAGAGGAACTATTGTTTTTATCCTACGTTAGAGTTCATCCTGTGTGATGTTTCCTTAATCATTATTTAGAGGACACATGTATACTTTCACAATATTTCGGTCTACTTTGGAAACTTATATTTGTTCCTTTTGTATAACGTGGATGTCCAGGTGCAAAAGTATCTATTATAACTACAATGTGCGTTTTACTTGGCCTCTCACTTGCTTTGGTATCATCTGGTGTTATTCCACCATTCACCGAGCACACTGCCAGAGCTGTTAATGTACGTAACCTCGTTACTGAACTATTTGATTCTTGCCTGCTCTATGCGTTTGGTGAATAAGAATTGCTTGATTATTACATGCATATATCTTATTAAAAATTGTTAATTCAAGAATTTTCCTATGCTTTATCATATAATTGGTTATGTAATTGAAGAATTCATGTAGGTAAACCTGTTTTAGATGTGAATTTTTTTTTTCTTTTTCCAAGTTAACTTGATAGTGAAGAAAGTTTTTTTTTTCTTTTTCCAAGTTGTCGGTTTTGCGGTATTTTCCTGTGTTTGGTTGGGTTACTTGAAAAACTTTTCAGTAGAAGGAAACGAAGCCAGACAAAGGAAACAAAATTTCTCCTTCAGAAAACATATCTATCTAATAGAGATTTAACATTTGCTTGTGTTCCTCAGGTTGTGCATGTCGTCGATGTGACAGGAAAATTTGATGGAAATCAAGTTCCTAGTTCATTTGTATCTCTATTTTCAACTACTCCTGGAAAGTTGACAAAAGAGGCCGAACAGATTAAAGAAGGCTTCACATGTGGCAGAGAGAGAGTTATTGATTTTGTTACCTTTTCAGTCAAATATGGTTGCATAACTTATGATGATGCTGAAACTGGGTGGAGTAAGGCTGATATTCCCACAGTGCATGTTGTTAGTGATACCATGGTAGATGGACGAGTCACACAAGTTTCAATTGATACTAGGAGTTCTACGCGCTGGTCTCTTGCAATCAATACTGAGGAAATAAGAGATTTCACATTCCAAGGTAATAATTTTTTTTGTCAATGGTGTTAATGTTCTCTTTTGTCTTTGCATCCGTACACTTGTCTTCCCGGTCTTTCATCTCCTTCTTCTAAGGTGAAAGCAGACAAAAATGTTATAATCATGTTCAAATTCTGCAGAGTTTGGATCCTGGCATTGTAGGTGGGAAATTGACATTTTAAAGTAAATGTTAGATGGCAAAGATTATATCAAAAAGAGCTATACTATCTGGACATTGATGCTTCAGATAACTGTGCAATCAGAAAAAAGCAAATAGGGTTGCTTTAGAACATCTTACCCCCTTTTACCTCCCTTCTGATGTTGGTCTGAGTTGTCTAATGTTCAGAATAAAACTGTAAACTCAAGTTAATCCAGCTTCCCCTGCCAACACCGGACAGTTGATATTTTGTATGTAACATGTTCATTATGAATCTATTGACTGACATGTCATGGCTTGCTCTGAATCATCACTACACGAATTTGCAAATGGATAATCTCTTAGCAGACAGTGGCCTATAAATTTTTTCTCTTGATGCAAACCATAGAGATAATCTTATATTATATTGCTCCTAAGGTTTTCAGAAAGGAAAATCTATTACTTCACAACTACAGAAAAGGAAGAAGGAGCATGATGCTGATCTAATCTCTCTGTCTGTTCTCTAAATTTTGAACTGTAAATGCAGGGGATGTGGATGAGATAGTTTCACTTGGTGGCAAGGGAAGTGTAGATGGATGGCACATTATTCAGTTCAGCGGAGGAAAAAAGTCGCCAACAAATTTCAATCTTACTCTTCTCTGGGTGAGAGATCAGCAATCTCATAACAACGTAGGACAGAGAGAGGAGCAGCATCGCCCCCTTTTAAAGCTAAGAACTGATTTTGATCGGTTAACACCAAAAACTGAAAGAGTCCTCATGAAGCTTCCTTCTTGGTGTTCTCAGTTCGGCAAGTCCACATCTCCTCATACATTAGCCTTTCTCACGAGTCTTCCTGTCGATATCTACGATGGAAAACGCTAAGCTTCTTTCTCGCACCATTTTCTCTGAGAATAAATAATGGACTCATATGAATGATGACCGATATCATAGTCACTAGTTCATATACACAACAAAGTAAATTCTTTGTATAGCATTGAGCTATTTATTTATTTATTTATTTGATCATGTAGCATTGAGCTATTTGAGCAGTTGAAATATCCTGCTGATATATGTAATATTTATAGAAATAATTAGTTTGGTAGAGACATTTATACTAGTTGATTGAGTAATTATATTAACAAATGGAGGAGTGATCAGCATGATTGTTAGTGTTAATATTATGATTAAAATATATATTTTTTTACTGTAATTATTTTTTTAGGCGGATAGAGTAGAATTGTAATTACGTAATTTTCTGATGTCCGGTGGTTTTGGGCCATGTTTTATAGGTTTTTAAGCATCACTTAGGTGATGGCTGCTTCGATGAGAGATGAAATTTGGACGTGAAGGGGCATCAAGGAACGGAGAAAACAAGCGAACTTAACACTATTTACTATTATTCGGAGCGTTTATAATATTAATAAGTTTGATATACTTAAAAATAAATACTTTTAGAACTTTAATTTTTTGTTATTGAGTCATTCTCCATCATCAATGGAAGATTTAGGAGAACCTTATAAGGGGTTTACGGAAAATCTGAATTAGTCTCACTTAAATAGTTAATTAATAGTATTTAACAGTTAATACTACACTTTTAACCGTCGCTAAAATCATTACATAGCTCACACGTGCGACTTACTTGAGTTCCCCTGGTGGTGGATTTGTCCTACCAGAGACACCAAACTCAAGCACAGGTGGTTTTCTTCCGGTCTTCACATCTTGTTCTCTTCTGTTCTGTCCCTTGTACCTCCGATAGACCAGAGACCGAAAAACACGGAGACAGACAGGGGAGACAGAATTAGAGCTTACCTTAAAAAAGAAATCTCCCAGAAATGCGGAGCATACCGTTGGGTACCACATTATCAACTCCAACTTCCATTAACAACTGCATTAATACGAACTCTCCTCCTCTGTCTTTCCTTTTCAAGAAACTCTACTACCCACCTCTCTCTTTTCCCTCTCCTAGGGTTTCTCATGACCCAAAATCAGGTACCCACTTAACCCTTTTCTTCTGTTGTTTGTTTCCCGGGAAATTCTGGTGGGTTTTCTTTTGGGAATGGATTTATTTGTGCTGTTGCTTGTCGTATGCGTAAGGTTGTAATTCGAATGAATTAAGAGTTTTTCTGAAATTTATTTGAAAATTTACACCACTTCTTATTATGAAAAATTGAAATTTGTATTGAAAATGATGAAAGTTCAGTTCGTAATTCTAATTTTAGTCAAATTTGAAACAATTCCTTTTAGATTGTATTAAAGTTGATGAATTTGAAATGGGTTTTTCTAAATTTACTTGAAATTCTTATAAATCCATATGCAGCATATATGTTCTGATTCTTATCCTTTGGTTTGCTTTATCTTCATCTGTTTCTTTTTAATGTTGTATTCCATAGTACAACCAATATATATATATAGAGGTTTTTAAGCATGAACAAAAAACAATTAATTACAAAATGATATGATTTTACCCTTTAATTTGCTTTGCTTAATTTCTAATACTCTGATTTATTTATTGATTTTCTTTCTCTTTAATTCCATAATTTATTTCTTTAGCATATTAGTTTACTTTCTCTTTAATATAATGGTTTTCTTCCTATTTAATACCTTGATTTACTTCATCTTTAACATTTTTACATGAATTTCTTCTTAGACTTGTTTGATGCTTTAGGAAGACTAGACTCTAACAAATTAGTTTCTAAATTCTACTTTCCTATTTACTGCCTTCTGTCAAGACATTCCAACAAATATATTGATTGTCACGAATTTGCTATTCGGTTCATTTAGGAGTATGCCGAGCCAGCCAAGTGGTTGAACTATTCCCCACTATATCTCCCGAGATTGTTGTCAGGGAGGCAAGGTTGGAGGACTGTTGGGAAGTGGCTGAGACACATTGTAGCTCCTTCTTCCCTGAATATTCCTTTCCGTTAGACTTCATGCTTCGAATTGATAGGATGGTGGCAATGCTGTCGGGGTTTACCACACCACCAGGTTGCCGGAGAACGTGTTTAGTTGCTGTTATTGGTAGCTCGGTGGATGAAACCTTCTGCTTGGGAAGTGAAGATTTCAAAATTGGAGGTTTTGATGGAAAAATTAGTCTTAATAAGGGCTATGTGGCTGGGATATTAACCGTGGATACAGTGGCTGACTTCCTTCCACGCAAAGGACCTCTCCGGCAGAGAAGGTAAATTTTGATTTATGCTTTTTTCTTTCTTTTACTTTTTCTATCAAGTTTGGCACTTTTGAACGATCTAGATTAGGAAACAAACCACTTAAAGTGTATGAAAGGAAAAGGGGTAGAAAGGTAAAATAAAGGTGAAAGGGAAATAAACCACTTAAACCTCGTTCCGCTCACCAGCTTTTGTGTCGTCTATAAGGAGAGAAAAAAAAAAGAACTTTTAATGGAGTAAATGATAATAAAACTTTGACATGGTTAAGAATAGATGGTTTCAGATTCTCGGATTTTTGACTTTGCGGTCATCCTATTTACTTAATAGA